AAAAGCAAAAAGCATCTTTAGTCTTTAAATTGGTTTTCTCTTTTTTTTTTTTTTTTAGTTAAAGATCTGGACTGGACCATTATTAAAAGCAAAAAGCATCTTTAGTCTTTAAATTGGTTTTCTCAGGAATGGGAACCATATAGATTGAAATGGAAAATTATTTTCTTAAAAAAAAAAAAAAAACTAAAATTTGCTAGACGTGTTTACACCAATGTTCAGAAATTCATATTTATCTGATGCAAAACAGAAAGATTAAATAACAGAAGGAAAAAAAGTCAACTCAGACATTTTCTATAATGATAAAATTACGTATTTAAAAATTTAAGCACACATAAATTAAAATGTATACCTTACACAAGTGGTATAATTTGACCTCCTTGATCTTTGTCGCACATTCATTAGCTTAGCTTTTAAATTTGTATCTCGAAGCTCGATGGAAAAGCTTGGCTCAAAACTGAGTTTGACGTGGACATATGTGCTGAATGCCCCCCGCTCCCCTGGCTGTGGGGGGTCATTCAGCAAAGAGATCCATCGTGACTAACTCTCTTAAAATTCATTTTAGCTTCCATGAAATCCATTGGCTCTTCCAGGCCACTAGTCCAGACTCGGGGGTCAGATGGGGCCGGTTTGTGGGCCAGCAAGCCAGCCCCTTTTCCTGGTGGCTGCCGTCTTGTGCTCCAGAATGCAAGCTTGTGTACTGAAAAACAGTTGTCTAATGGTTGCGAAGATACCGTTTGGGTCGCGTACCAGAAGTTACCCATTCCATGATGTCTGCCCGGGTCCGCAGACAGCCTTAAACGCTAGCTCTGAGAGGAGTATGAACTGCCCCAATAATCTCAATGGGATGTTGACTCTGAAGCCTGATGATAATTTAAATGTGAAAACTGCTGCATATTTCACTACTGATCCCACAAGAGAGAAGAGGAAAGATCATATAATGGAGATATGCACAATCTTACTGTGAGTGGGTCTCGTTTTGGTGTATCACTTGGGTGGAGCTTGGGGTGTGGGCTAAGCATGGGAGAGCGTCACCGCTTATCTGTACCGGCTGGTCTGACCCTAGCCCCAAACGCATCTCTGTCAGGGACGGGTGAGGAGTCTCTGACACAACTGTCAGAGGTAATGAAGTTCTACTCGTTCCCTTATTGGCATTTTGAATTGCAAAGAGCTGTTGAGGTTCTCCAGACTGCCCAAGAGCAGCAGGAAAAGGAACGAGGACCGTCCCTTGCAGACATGCTCACGACGCCCGCGCTAGCAGAGCCTCTGTGTCATTCCTGGCATTCCCGGTGTGTCCCRAGGCTCCTGCAGCCCCAAAGCTGGCAGGCGAGAGAGTTTGATGAATGCGTTTGGTGTCACCCATGTGCTTGCTCTGTGCATCCATGTCTGTGTCCACGTGTGAATGAGCTGCAGACAGAAAGCAAAGTCAAAGCAATGAGCGCTGCATTTCTTTTTCCTCCCATGACGAGCCTAAAAGCCAAAGCTTCTGGGTAGGTTGGTTTCCAGCGTGAGCGTCTCGTTGTGGCCCCTTCCCCTGCCCTTTCCCTCCGGTTTGTCTCATTGTGAAGCACATTTGCCCACAGAGGGTGAAATCCCACAGGGGAACCGGTCCCCCCTGWCCTGGGCTCTGTTTTCGGTGCAGTACCAGTGCGAATATTCAGTGGTGGGCCTTGCTATGTTGACGCGCTCCTGCGGTCTGCTCCCGACGGGAATCTTGGAGTGCTCGAGCTCAGCCGTAGGCGAAGGAGGGCCATAAARCTCCTGCGGTAGGCAAGGAGTTTTGCCCCAATTCCATGAGTCCTGGATCCAGCCAGGCACTGAACTGTGGTAATGGAGTCGGGAAGCGGCCAGTCCCTCAGTCACCCACTGCCCTCCATGCGGTCCTGGAGGGTGAGCTGTTCCTAGCGGCCTGGAAGAGCCAGCAGGTTTCAACAGATTAAGGTAAATTTTAGGAAGGGTAGTTGGAACCGATTTTTGTTCTGGTTGAGCTGCACCACCTAGCTCAATAGAGGAACATCCCTCATACACGTAAACTTAACACCGTGCTGAATTAAGCTTTGCAGTTCAGTGGAAATACATGTGTGCATCGCAGGTGATTTACGGTGACACGCAGCACTTTGTCCTCTTCAATTTTTTTTTTTTAATTGTGCATTTAAATTCTTGGTTATAACAGCCTCTTTAACTGGGCTCTCTGTGGGGAGAGATGTAGGACAGAGGTAAGAAGGGAGTGATGTTGTGTTGAAGTAAATACCCCACCCTCGGCACTAATTCCATCAGGATGGATGGAATTGCTCCACCGTAGGTAAGGGGAGAATGAATCCCTCTTTTGGCACTGCAATTCAAACGTATCTGGTGCGCTCCTTTTTGCATGATGTAAATGAGTCACTGGTTGGGTTTTTGTTTGGAAGCTCAGCTTTATTGAATTACAGCTTATATCACAAAGGCAAAAATTAACCTGATACCTTTTTTAGCCCTTAAACCCTGAGAGAGATCGTGCTGATGGAGAGGGCGATCTGACCCCTTAGAGACCCCGTTGGGACACTCAGGTTTAGTCAGCCTTACGGCTTGTAAGAACCGGCGCCACCCGACATGTGCGATTATGCTTCATTTTCACAACGCCACCTTTAGTGTTACTCGGATATGGCTCATTGGAACCAGCCGGCCCCTAGCTCAGAGCCCAAAGCTGCGGGGAGCCCTTCAAGGTCCGCTGCTCAGCGTCAGGGTTGGAAGGCCGGTGGGGACTAAGGGTAGGCCCTGGGTTCGCTTGGGCCTGTGCAGCGCCAGGCGTGGGGACGGTCCTTGCTGTTCGTGTTGAGGTTCCCCGGGTGCGGCCAGGCCGCGGAGCTTTGGCTGCTCCTCAGCGTGGTTATCGAGCGGTTCCGGTCGCGCCGAGCAGCCTCGGCCCGGCGTGAGCGGCCCATGTTGTGTTTCTCCCTCCCCAGGACGACAAGGAGATCGACCTGGAGCACCTGCACAGGCGCGTGAACAGCCTCTGCACGGACGACGACAGTCCCCACAAGCAGTTCTCCACCTCGTCGATCGACTTGACCCCGCTGGACATTGACACTTTGCCCACGCGCCAAGCGCTGGAGCAGATCAGTGACTTCAGAAACACTCACATCACCACGACCACCTTCATACCCGAGCAGATCCAGACTCTGAGCCGCACTCTGTCCGCCAAAGCCGCCTCCGGCTTCTCCTTCGGCAGCGTCCCCGAGCACCGAACTGGCCCTTTCAGGCACAGGGCGCCCAACGGCGGCTTCTTCAGGAGCCCCATCAAAACCATGTCGTCCATCCCCTACCAACCCACGCCGACGCTGGGGCTCAACCTGGGCAACGACCCGGACCGAGGCACCTCCATATGAGTGTCGCACCGCGGTCCCTCAGCGCCTCTTTTCTAGGACTCCCTCCGCGAGGAGCAGCTGTGATGTTGTGGGACTAACATGGATGTAACCTTTGCTGTTTTCCTCTTTTGGTTTTTTGTTTTGTTCTTTCTGTTCTGACGTTTGGTTTGTAAGAAAAGAATGAGGATTATTAGTAACTCCTCCTCCTCYGATCTACTCTCTCAGCCTGGTCTCCTCCTCCTCCTCCTCCTCTATCTCCTTTTATTCTCTTTACTACTTGAATCACTTATTCTTTGGCTTATTACTCGCCCCCATTAGGTTTTGTTACTTCAGGCTTTTCATATAATTTAAGTAGAGCAAACATGTAGTGATTAATGCATAAAAAAAAAAAAAGGAAAAAAAAATGAGGATTACTTTGCAGAAGGGCATTTGTTCCTCCTCCCCCACTGCCTTTTTTAATGTAATTGCAATAACTTAAGTCCTGTGCATTTATTCTGCTGCATCCAGTCAGCGCTCCACTGCTGTGCATCCTTTTAACTGTGGACCAAAGGCAAACCCTGCAGTTAAAAAATAAATAAATAAAAATAAATAAAAAAGGCAAAAAGAATTTAAAAAAAAAAGAAAAAAGAAAAGCTAGAGGAAGTTAAAAAGACAATTCAGGCCCTGTAATATGAGAATGCAATTTTGTAGGATTACAAAAAGCCATTACTATGCCAGTAAAGACTACAGTTAAATCTACTTTTGCACTGCAACAGTGCATATGACCTTTATGTGATTGTACAGTGTTAAAAGTTTTTCTTATGTACAGTAAACTGTATCATATGGCAATGCCTCTGTTGTGTTAAATAAACTAGTATCTTATACATATATATATACATATATACGCAGGTATGTATATATATATACATGTATATATAGCTATAAAATGGCAGCCGTTGCTATTGCAATTCATTTAATAAAGCTTTAGTAAAGATGTGTTGTATACGGGAAGGATGTACAGCGCAGGGGGTCTTTTCATTTAGAAAAGACAGGTTGCTTTAATGTTATTCTGGCTTGCATTGTTTGCCAACAGAGCGTATTTTATACTTTTTTATTAGAACATCCGGGACAATTAATTGTTTGTACCTCGATGTAACTCATTTGATTAGGTTTAGCATTGGCTGCTGAGCATCGTATAAGGCTAACCGTGATAATTTTAATTAATTAGAAGAATGGAAAACTCTTAGGTCTACCATGTTCATGAGCGACTAATATTAGCTCTAGAGAAGTTTAAATGCAGAACAAAGGTTAATAAATTGTTTTCCAAATCATTACAGCTGATCGATACGATAATGGTGTTAGTGGAGGAAAAGAAAGCCCTTGAGAAATACTGATGTGGCCTTAATTACAATCACATATTGCTCTAAGGAAAAAATAAATGTATATGAACAGGCGCTCATTTTAACCCGTTACACGTTAAGTTAGATTTAGAGGAGCTACATGTTTCTTACATTAGTGCCAACTGTATAGAGCAAAAGAGAGAACAGCAGTGAGAGCAAAACCAGTGCCCACTTTGGCACCTGCTTTGTGAAGTAACACTGTTACCTGTTAGAAACGTAGGAAGAGCTTTCGATTTGTAATCCTTAAAACTAAAATTGCGTTTCAGTAGAAAGCAAGCGGTTTATCCTGCAAGTTCTTTGATTTCGTTTTGGGTTTTTTTGTTTGTTTGTTTGTTTTTTTGTTTTCTTTTTTTAACGCAACCATGCACTTATTTTAACCTAACTCATTCTTTGGCTAGGATTACTAGGAATCAGCCTCTGTGATTTGCTTTAGGATAAATTAAAAGGTATATTCTTCAGATYTATTCTATTTTGATGCTAATTCTGTTCTGGGGGAGCATCTTGTACTGTCACTGTTTTTTGTACTAAATCTTCAAATCTTGTCTACTGTGTAAGGCAGAACAAATTCTTATCGTGCAAAAGGCCATTTTGTTTCCGGGGAAGGAAGTGTCTAAAAGCATGCACGACTTGCTTCCCCTTGTAACATTCATGAACTCATCCACACCTCCGAGCAAAACAGAAAATAAATGAATAAATAAAGTTTCTTTCCAACAAGCTATGTAGGGACATACCAGATGTTGCAGTGATTTTAGCTATAAACAAACTGTTAACCATGTACAATATTTAAAATAGGCCTATTTTGATGTGTTGCCTATTATACAGATACACGAAACACTTTTTGGAGGCCTCAGTTACAAGTGGCAGAGCTTTCTGTGTATAATTTGTCTAAATAATTTGTCTAATAAAATTGTTTTCTAAACCTGTGCKTCCTCCTGTTTAAGTACTGAGCACGGAGAGATTCTTGTTCCATGGTGGGCATCCATGTGGGATGTATTTGTGGTGCCACCACAGGAGGCACCTCCCAAAAGCAAAGAGCGGTGRCGACATCCTCATCTGTCCCCTGAGTGCAGTCCAAGATGCTGGACTCCAACACGGTGTGGCGTTYTGGCTAGAAGAATTCCCTGGGAGACCAAGAACACACAGTTGCATTATCATACATAGCAGCATTGTTAGTTCCTGTGGAGAAACTCCGTGGAATTCAACAAGATTTAGTGTGCRTATTGGTGTCAGCCCCAGATTTCAAGAAACTTCTATGGGCAGCGCCCTGGAACATGTAGACGCTGACATTTAAGGGATGGGATTTTCAAAAATATTGTCATGGAYCTCCATCCTTTTTTAGTGTAATCTAAGAATTTTCCTGGCATATGGCAGTTATTTTTATAGAATCACATTCTGCCATCTTTATTTACATGGAGGATAYGGTTTACTCCGCTACTAGACATAAGCTGCCTTTAGACTTTGCTAAAGTTTGAGCGTGAGAGCATTTAGCCTGTGTTTCGTTATGGCCTCCTGCACTCAAGTTTTATATATTCATTAATATGCTAAGGTTATGGCCTAATCTCTAGCAGGTCTGGCAGGAGATACGATAATAACATCAGTCACGAAGATGTAACTCCAGGCAGCCAAAGTTTGTCTGCAGGATTTTTACTTTCAGTAAAACTGAATGAAAACTGAGCAATATTTCCGAATAATTGCAGGCTTCTATTAAGCTCAGCAGGCATTTGGGGGCAGAGGCCATTTGCATTTCAGTTTATAGTTTCATAAATGCCCTGGAAGGAGTCCTCAATTCATTGCTACATTAAAAAAAAAAAAAAGTCCAAATCCAGATAACATAAAAAATCTAAAGAAAATTAGACTTTTGCAAGTGAGTAGAGGACGAAATACAAAGGTGCTTGTGTCTAATGCCAGCAGGTAGTCATCTCAGTGGGCACTAAATGCCTAGCAAGAGGATACTAGAGGCTCTGATAATCTGAYTTCTTTTATTATTTCACTTAAAAGCAATCAGGAGACAAGGGCTGCTTGCTTGCTCAGAGATGGAGCCACAGCAAACGGAGCCATTGACAGTGCAACCATAGTGCCTGCCACCCTATACCTAGCAGGGGTTGCGATTGTCACAAAAACACTTGCGTGAGCGTGGTCTTAATTTATTAGGGGCTATTCACAATCCATAAAGTAATTGTGACAATTTATTAGGGGTTATTCCCAATCCATAAAGTAATTGTGACCTTGTGGAATATGCTCTGCTGCTTCAGGCATGATAAGATTGTTCCCATGACAGTCACCATGGATGTTGTCACCAGCACTTGCACTTGCAAGCGTTTCTATCTACAGCTGGGTCCTTACAGGTTTCCTGCCAATTTACTCATCAAGATAGGCCAAATTAAGGAGAACACTATGTCACATTCCCTTCTTTAAGCAAAAAGAGACAGTGAAGGCAGATGGGCTGTTCAAGACCCACTGGCAAGTGGTTCCATTGCAGCAGTCCACTGAAAATACACAACAGTTGTACATAAACATGAGTCACATGCACCATGATTCTGCACCATCTTTTGTCCATTTTGACATACCAGTTTGAACAACAACAACAACAACAACAACAACAACAACAACAACAACAAAAAAGGAGCAGTGGAAGAAAACATATTTATCTCCTTTCAGAGAATCACTCTGTAAAATAGCGCTGTTGACCAGCAGTGAAGTACCTGCAGGGAAAAACCAGCCCCGCTGCGCCGGTCAAGAGGGTGATTGTGGCCATCATYGATGTCGCCACAGCCTGATCAGAGCAGAAATAAATAAGTAAACAAAGTGTGAGGACCCTTTCCATAAAGAGATGGRCTCTGAGGGAAATATTTTCTATGCTTTCTATGCTTAAGGTAGGATGTTGCAAAGTGATGAGATTGAAAAAACCCTTGGACACTCTGAGGCAATGAGGCTTACTTTAAGTTAATACCCTGCATAGGCTTAATTTCTTAAATCTGCACAGAAGTGATTACCTGAAAAGCAAAACAGTTCTCCTTGTGCACACTGTTGGCTGTAGTTAATGAAAAAAAACGTTCTTTGGCTTGAGAAAGTAATCATATCAAGTGTTAGACATATCCCTGCTCTCTCTCTCAGACCAGACATGGGTGTTTCCCCTCGCTGTGTACGGCTGTTTGAAGTAAACATCAGAAGCAACTCTCTGCTCCTAGGAATGAGCCAGACACCAGTGGGTTTTTTTTGATTACCCCCTAGAACAGGCACCCAATGCAAATCTACACATCGCGAGACCTCGGGCAAACACCACAGCTCCTCATAAACTACCGGTCTGCCGTGTCTCATAGAAGGCATCATTCATGGTCRGAAGTGGGAGATCAAAGCCTCCAAAGGCATCTTCATGCAGGCAGATTGATTCGTGGCCTAATGAATTCGCCATCAAAAAAAAATGCACTGATTCCTCAGGAGCCATGAATTTCATGAAAAATTACCTTTTGAGAGATAGAGTTATAAAAATAAATTGATTGCGTGTCAAGACTTAGGAAGTCTGCCCCCAGCCCATTTGTCATCGCAGTGTGATGCACTGCGTGCACTACAGRATTTATTTCTACACCTCTCCTCGGAAGGAAGGGAAATACTACAGCTGGAAACCTGAATCGGAAAGTCAGGAACTAGCGYGCTCCAGACCAGGCAGGAAATGCGAGGCAGAAGCAAGAACCCAGTTGGGAGGAGGAGACAGCAGAGGATGTTGTGGAGAGAGATGAAGAAAAGTGGGAGCCGAGGGGAGCTGTGCAGGTGGCTTGGAAGCGGGAAGGGGAAATTTTGTCCTGTTTGCGGGACAGAGTCAGACCCACAATGTTACCGCTCTGCCCAGCAGTCAGCTCAGACCAGTTCGGACCCCTTTCTAACAAATGAGATGAAATGGAATATAAAATCCTGAGAATTTCCGTTGGTCTGAGTGAAGCCACCAGGATGARCATCCGCAGGCTTCATCACAAGCGGCCTGCCCATGGTGACACCAGCACCCACAGAGGGCTTTGGGACATTTCAGAGCTGGTCTGCAGCCCCTCTCCTGATGGGCACACAAGTAGTTACTGCATCCAGGGCAGGGGGAGAAGACAAGAAGCTGCAACACCCGTAAGAAGCCAGTCCACAGCTCACACCAGRAGCCATCACCATCCCCGGCAGAGTTCAAGAAACACGTAGACGAGGGACATGGTTTAGCAGCCATGGGGCGTCGAAGGGCTTACGGTTGGACCTGATGATCTCAGAGATCTTTTCCAACCATAATGGCTCTATAGGTCTACGAGCAGAAGCAACTTTTATCTAAGCACCTGGTGCTCTCGGGCAGTGCTGTGGAGCTTTTTGGTTGCGGCAGAAGCAGCGCACAAGCCCACGAGCAGCTGCAGCATGACGTGTATCAGGGTGGACAGGGACTTGCCTAGTGTGGGATGGAGTGCGCCATAGCAGAGCATCCCCCAGTGGCAGCAATTATGCAGCCCCAAGCACGGCAGGGATAACCAGGTAAAGACTGACAGGCTTGGGCAAAGTGGCTGGAGAGCTGCCCAGCAGAAAAGGAACTGGGGGTGCTGGTGAACAGCCAGCTGCACATAAGCCGGCAGTGTGCCCTGGTGGCCCAGGGCAACAGTGTAGCCAAGAGGACCTGGGAGGCCAAGGGATGGGCCCCTGTACTGGGCGCTGACGAGGCCGCAGCTCAAACACTGTGTTCAGTGTGGGCCCCTCACTACTAGAAGGACATTGAGGTGCTGCAGTGCGTCCAGAGAAGGGCAACGAAGCTGGTGAAGGGACTGGAGTGCAGATGTTACGAGGAGAGGCAGAGGAAGCTGGGGTGGTTTGGTCTGAAGAGGAGGAGGCTCAGCAGAGACCTTACTGCTCCCCACAACYACCTGAAAGGAGGCTGTAGCAAGGTGAGAGCCGGTCTTTTCTCCAAAGTAAGTACTGATAGGACAAGAGGAAGTTGCACCAGAGGAGGTTCATGTTGGATATTAGGAAAATTTTCTCTGTGGAAAGAGTGGTGAAGCATTGGAACAGGCTGCCCGGGGAAGAGRTGGAGTCACYGTCTCTGRCAGTGTTCAAGAAACAYGTAGATGAGGCACTTAGGGACATACATGGTTTGACAGCTATGGTAGTGGTGTGCTTATGGTTGGACTATATTGTCTTGAAGGTCTTTTCCAACCATAATGATCCTGCAGTTCTGATTACAGTCCAACCTGCCCCTCTGTGAGGGACCAAGCCTGGCTGCCCACCAAGACACCACAGCTTTGCCTGCCTTCCCCTTCCCTGATGCAGCTCCTGGCTGAGACGGTAGGTGCCTTTTCCTTGCACACATGTATGTGGGGACGTCACCAGACAAACACACTTGCCAAGGACCTGGAAAACAGCTGCCATCGCCTCAGCAGCCCTGTCCARCCAAGCAGGTCAAGGTAGCAGCTCAGCATCGGCATGTGGGCTGGACTGACAGCCCACAGCCCCTTCCCTGCATGTCCACAGGAATGAGGGACACGAGCACAAATATATCCTCCCACTACAGAGAGGAAAGAAAGTTGGTGGGAGCAGATGTTAGATTCAGATAGGGCAGAGAAAGGCCAAGGTGTGGTGCTTGCTACCTTTACTTGACTGCCAAGGGCTCCTGCTCCTCCTC